AGCCACCGAGCAGAGTCTGGCTGGATGTCCTCAGGCCACCTTGGCCTGCAGCCCCCTCCTCTCTGTGGGAGCCCCTGGCACCAAGGGACTTGGCTGTGTCACAGAGCTGTGTCTCCTAGGTGCCTCCTGAACCCCGAGAATGAGGGACAGTTTGCAGCATGGGCAGCAGACACAGAGGAGAACGTGAAGGGTGCACCCATGTACCCCTAAGCCGGGAGGATGGGGGCTCAGGGCATGGCGATCTGATCACGGCGTGGTGAGCAATTACTAGTCTGAGCCCGAGACCCTCCTGCGGCCCGGCATGGAGGGGGCATCTGATTCCTAAGAAAGCTGGCTTCATGGAGAATCAAACTGACAGAAAAGACCAAAAACGAGGTATCTTAAAACTAGAAAAGAACAAGGAGGCTCTCCCACCCCCTGGGTGTGTTTGCTGGGATGAGGAGACTGCAGCAAGGCCCAGGAGGTAGCAGGCTCCCGCCACAGGAAAAAGGGTGGATGCCTTAACGCTGTCTCTGGGGAGAGGGGGACACGGAGGGAAGGATGGTCCTGGCAGAAACTCAGGGCTTCCAGGTCAGAAGGGTGTCGTGCCACGCTCGCACACACACAGACACACACACACACACATGTGCACACTCACATGCACACACACACACACACACACACGTGCACGCTCACATGCATACAGATGCATACACCCACACCTGCCTTCCAGCCCCAGCAAGGCCACATGCTGCTGGCCCTCCATAATCAGGTCTCTCCAGTCTCCGTGACTCAGTCTCCCAAATAAAACTGTCCAGAAACCCACTGAGATATGCTGCAGACCAGAGTTAACGCAAAGGGAGCTCGGGTTTCCCCGACCCAAGTCCCCGGGGCGACCACAGCCACATATGTGAGCTTGTACAACCTCTTAACACACTCGGGGGCTTGACCGGACCTCCCAGGCTGGAGAGAAGCTTCAATACCACCAAGTACTTCCCCATCCTATCGGGGTCCTAATTCAGTTCGCCCTGCACAAAGGAGCAGAAAATAGCCAAGGGCCCTCTGCCCCACCAGGGACTCCTGAACCCCAGAGGCACATCCAGGGGCCTGCTGCACGTGCCTGCCCTTTCCCCAGCCCTTCCCCTGAGCCTGTGGATACCACCCCTGGGAAATGGCGTTCCAGGAGCTCACAGCAGCTGGCGACTTTCCCAGGGTTTCACTGCACCCGGAAGGAAACAAGTCCCCACACCAGCGCCACAGTGACAGAGAAGGGTGGCTCAGCAATCAGGCCACAGAGAAAGCGTCCTGAGAAAACTGGGGCCCAGGCAGAGCAACCATGCCTTCCTCCTCCCACGGGTCACTCCAACACCAAAACAGCACCCACAATGAAACGTCTCTTGAAGTGGGGCTCCCATGTCCCACTCACCCTGCGTCTTTATGAGGAGCGGGCATCTGCTGCCAGGTGCTCAGGAAGAGCCAGGCACTCCGCAGGCTCACGGGGCTCAGTGGGCCCAGCTGACCTGCTCGGGCTGCCAAGCGGCCCTCCTATGTCCAACCTGTGCTTTGGCACATGGGGTGGTGAGGATGCAGGCTGGTGCACTGCAAGGTTCAGAAAAGAGGGTGGCCGCGAAACCCCAAGAGAAGCAGCACGAAGGGCCCAGAGTCAAGGAGCCGACACCCGCAGAACGGGGAGCCCACCGGGGCTATTGTTGTCATACTCCAGATAGCTTCCCACATACCTCCCCACAGGAAAGGTGACTTCCAACAGATCTGCCCCAGTCCGTGCCATCAGTTAGGAGCACTTGCATGGACAACATCCTGGGATCCTCCTCTGACCATTCCTATCTGAGCAAAGAGGAACACAGCCAAGGAGAAATTTGTGGAGCTGAATTTGTTTCCAAGGTCTGCAGCTGAAAAGACAGGACTCCACTGAAGGTCTTCTGATGTGCAGAGCCCTTCCAACGGATGTGGGCCAGCCCCCCCCCCCGGGGGGGGGGAGTGACTTCCCAGAAAACATCGCCCCAAGTGGCAAACCCAGGCACCAGCAGCTCAAGTCCAACACGGAGAGGCGCATCTTTCTCCCGGAGTTACACAGCAAGCCGGTGACACAGACCTTTGATTTCACCGCCCAGCATTCCCTCAATCAGAACACACCTCCTGGATGAGATCATTTCATTAGTGCTGTCCAGTGCCTTGCAGCGGAAGGCGCCCACACCCTCCTGCCCTCCTAGGCAGGCCCGAGTGATCCGCAGTCCCTTGGTGCCACTTAATGGAAAACGCATCTGGGTGACTCACCCTCCATGTGATTCCCTAGGGTACTTAGTTTAAGAAAGATCTCCATTTGCTCTAATGTAAACGATGCCTCTGGGTTTCAATCTTCCACAAATGGCTGGCTTTGCGTGCAGTTTTGTTTGCTGTGGTTGTTTTATGTTACAGGGACCCCTGGACCCTGTCCAAAACAAGGACATCCAGTAATCTCTCCGGCTGGTCCCTGGCAACTCCGTATGTATGGGGCATGAGCGGCGGAGGGGAGACCTTATCTTGCCCCCCTCCTGGGTGGTCAGGATCCCAGCCCTTCCCTCAAATCTGCTGCCAACCCCCATTTCCTCCGTTTATTTCAACATGTGCCTTCCCAGCACCTTCCTCTGGCAGCCCCAGGTCAGGCCTGCCTTCAGAAGCTGCCCTTGCCTGGGATGAGGGCCTAATCCTGGCCCCCTGCTTCATCCTCAAACCACCACCCCCACACCCCAAAGTACACTGGGCCCCGATAACAAACATTTGCCAGGGTAAATCCCATTCCCTGCCTTCTAGGTAACTTCTCCCTACCAGAGATAAGCTGCAAGGCAGACAGATAACAACTGGGATATGCAGTTATTAAGGGCCGATTTTAAAATGACAAAAGGATACATTTTAAAATAAAGCCCACTTGAAAATCAGCTTCCCTTCCAACTCAATTACATTCTGGCCTCCTGCTCTGAAGCTCCTCAGACTGATTCCAGATTGGCTTCGGGGTTTTGAGGAGCGTTGCCTTGGCAACACAGAAGACCCAGGCACCTGAAACGCAAGTAGAGGACACAGAGCCTCCCTCCTGCTCTGGGACACCTGGAGTGGCCAGCAGGGCTTCTGGCCTGGGGTGGGAGTGTCCACTGCTGAGGGGAATCAGGGCCCCCGCTGTCCACATCCTGCTGAGTGTGGGGACCCTGGTGTTAGAACAGAACCGAAAGGTGGCGGCAGCCAGGGCCTCAGAGGAACCTCAGGGTCAAAGGCGGGGACACCGTGCTGTGGCTGCTAAGAAGGGTCATTCCAGCTGGTGCCACACTCTGCCAGCTCCGTCCCACCACAGTGACTGCATGCATCTCCTTAGCAGGTGGGGGTCCCCACACAGGCCCGTTCTCTGTGTGGTCATGACCCAGTCCGCCACTGACCCGTGTCAGGCATCCCTGACAGCCATACCTTGGGTCACACTGTGGCCCCCCAAGGTGTTCCAGGGTAGTCAACAACCCCTCGATGGCACCACAAGTCAACCTCAAGGAACCAAGATGTCAGGAGACCTGGGGATGGGCCACTGCATCACAGCTGACAGATCTTCTAGAAGTTGTGTGACCCATCTGCAACTCTTAACTTCCATTACGAACCCATCATCCGGGGACCCCGGGCCATCGTAGCCTCTTGCGGGTGCCAGTCCTGCTTCCCTACCCGTGTCATCCAGGATCTCTCTCTGCTCGTCACTCTGCTCCTACAATCGTGTGCCGTTCTACTCTGGCTGTCCAGCGACAAAATCAACAAAGTCTCCTACCACCCCTCAGATTCACAGTAATCCTAAACCCACCGTCCATTCTCCGCTGCCCCGGCCAGTACTGCAGGCATGGCTAGAAGAATCTTTATCCAACCTTTGTGAGGACTTCCCTTCACTTCCGGAGCACTCCCACTAGTGGACACATCCTCCTCTTGAGTGTCTGCACACGTGTGTGTCCGAGCATGCACGTTACTGCACAGGCCTGTGCTCGAGTACATGCAATCGGCAAAGGCTTGTATTCTTCGTCAAGAAGCCCGAGCCCTGTGGCCACACCGCACCACACACATCCCCTTCTCTGGCCTGACAAGCACCTGAGCCCTCTCTGGGAATGCGGCCAAGCCAGCAGGGGTGGCCAGGTGTCTCCCTCACCTGCCCGGCCATCATTGGCTCTGCATTGCTCAGTGACTATGGCTGAGGTCTCCCGCTTGGACAATTATTGCAAGCTGTTCCTTGCCATATTGACATCTTGATTCCAAACCCTATCAGACTCTTGGCCCCACAGGTCTCCCCTTAACGTCGGGGGTCTCCATGCTGGACAAAAGGCCAGATGGCTGACACGTGGCTTTATGGTACTTTGACTTCCCTGCTCTCCTTCACCCTGAGAAACCACCCTCCACCCCGCTAAGGGGGGAAGAAGAGCCAACAGGTCAGTGGACAGATGCCCCAGCCCATCCACGTTCCACGTGCGCCAAGACCGAGCCAAACCAAGCCTTACCCAGGTCGCTCTGCTCATCTGCCCGCATTTCCCTCTCCGCTGGGCTTCGCCACGCCCCCACCCTCTCCTTGTGGCTCATTTTTCTCTTCATGCCCTTGTCTCACTTCCGGATCTGGAGGACACGCTCTGCCCCCAGCCTCAGCTACAGGTCGGTCACGCTTGTCCCCACAGAGGGGCTGACTTCACCTCTCTGGGAATCACACGCCCCTTCCGGCCTCCGAGTGGTGCCCCAGCTGTCCAAGGAGCACTGCACACCAGAAGGTTCCCAGGGCCTCTCCTGGACCCAGTGGCACACATTTCCTGTCTGGAGACCTCTCTGTGCCCCTTGTCCAGCATGTCCCCTAAACACCAGCCTGAAGGGCAGCAGCGGCGGCAGCAGAGAGAGAGAGAGGGTGCAGGAGATGGGCTGTCTACCCTGGTAAACCCTCACTAGGAGCCCAGAGTTCCGCAGCTGGGCTGTCTGCAGCGGCACCGCTCACCAGGCAGCACCCTGAGGCCTCTGAGACTCACCTTGCGCATGTCTTTACCAAAGGTCTCGCTGTAGGTCGTGCCGAGGATTTCGAACTGGATGTAGGGATTCGAGCTGTCCTCCCGAAACTCCATCACCCCCGTGAGGCCGGTGATGTGGCCCTGCAGGAGAGGAGGAGAGGTTTTGGAGAGTGGGGGAAAGGTGGCTGTGGCAGGGGACGCAGTCACCAAGAAGGTAAAGGTCACCAAGAAGGGAGCAATGTGGGTCATGAGGAGGCCATGGATAGCCTGCAACAAGGACTCTGTGGCTGGCAGCTGGTCTCAGAGTGAGATCAGGTGTCCCCAGGCCACCAGCTGAGCAGGGAGCCCCTGAGACATGCACTTGACCTCCCGCAGCCAGCATGGTCACGGCCCTGCTCTGTGCCAGGCGCCATGTGAACAATGGGGTTGAAGACTGACAGCCCGACCCTCCCTCCGCACACCCCATCTCACCTCGAAGCCTGCTCCAGGGGCTTCTCTGAGCCCACCCACGACAGAGGTCACCAGTCTTCAGGAGCCATGGCTAACACACGGCTGTAGCTTGCAGAGCGACAGATATAATAAGCCCTGCTGGCCACCACAGGCAAACTAGTGCCGATCTCCCAGCTTCAGCCTAAAGGGAATCGGATCCACAGCCCAGGGCCCCAGGATCAAAGGAGCCAGGTACACAGGGCAGAGTGACCTGAAGGATTAGCTGCCAGCCAGATACCCTCCCCAGGGATTCAGGGAGTTCCATGGAGCAGCGGGAAGCAGGGGCCGAAGGGGCTGTGGTGAGTCCCTGCCACCCTGCTCTCTTCCAACCTGGGGTGAAGATGGCCCCCAATGATAGGTCCCAGGGAGAGCCCCAGAGACTAAGCTGGCCCACCAGGGGCCCCACTCTGCTCTGATGTGCAGCAAATTTAATCCAACATCAGAACAGGCACCCTGCTATTGAAACCAGGCACAGTTTATTGTGACACTGAGATTTCCCTAAACACTCTTTTAAAGCCTCTAAAATCCTATTCACTCTAACATGTCTTGCATGAATTACACACTTTACTCGCAATCCAGCCTCCTAAGCGTGGCACACTTCGGACACACAGCGTGTGCACACACATGTGCAGAGGTCCTAGCCAATCAGCATGTGGCCATGCCCATGGAGACCCATCTCACTGCACGGAGGGATATCTGGCACACAGTGTAGGCAGCTATCGCCACATTTTGCTTGCTGGTGACCTTGGGCAAGATATTTAAACTCTCTGAAGTGTGGTCTCCTTATATTAAAGTGGAGATCATGATAATGACACGCCCTTGAACCACAGCTCCCCCAGCTTTCAAATGCAGGCACAGGAAGTGACAGGGAAAAGTGCACAGAGTGGACAGTGGATACCCCTACAAAGATCCCACTTCAAGCCAGCGGCTGAATGGGCAGAGAGTCAAGGGACTAAGAGAATCTGCACCCAGCTGTGATTCGCCCAGCGGGTGTGTTTCTTACACACACACACACACACACCTTTTTGATCGTGTCCAGCATGGACCTCCCTCCATTCCATGGCTTGGTGGACTTCCGTATGCAGTTAAGACTCGCCATACTGTGCCACTTCCTGTCCTCCAGCTTCCTGTGGAAGGCGTTGGCCAGCATCAGAACACTGTCGTACAGGTAGAGGTTGGAGATCTGCAAAGACCAAGGCAAGTCTCCGTGGTGGGTTTGCATAGACAGAGGGCAGGGTGACACAGGATGCAGCACGGAGGTGGGGAGCCCCAGATTCTACCGTGAGCCTCTGCTGACAGCCCTGCAGGTGCGGGAGCTCCGTCGGGGTGGCTGCAGGAGGGAGGTCCATGTGTCAGCAAGGAGAACCAGTGTGACCAGCAGCAGGAGACTGACTGGCTCAGGCAGCAAAGGGCGGCGGGAAGGAGGGCAGCAGCTCAGGGATAAAGGGAGGGAAGGACATGTGCGAAGGCATGAAGGAGCAGGCCCAGGGGAGGTGGGCTCTCCCGGGTTTCTATAAGGGACTGGACAGAGAAGATTCTAGGCTTGAGGGCCGTCCAGACTCTGCAACTGCTCCATCTTGCTGTCATCACCTGAGGGCAGCCACAGGACATACAGCAAGGGACGGGTGCCACCTTACACTGATGGAACGAGACTCCCCAACACGGAAATGTGTTGGATTTGTGCCATTTCCGGAGTTGGCCGATTGCTGAGTTAGAGGACAAAGCAGTTTAGTGGACAGCATGGATGGCAGTCAGGATGGGGTGGGGCAGCAGAAGCAGGAATAGAGCCATGCAGAGCCTCATGGGACACGCTAAGCAGCAACAGCACAAAGGACCTCAAGAAGGGTGCAGCAGGGGTCTGATGACTGGACCTGGGTGTCAGGAAGACCACCCTCGTCACCGCTGCCATGGGGAGAGTGGTGGCCCGTGTGACCCCGTGGCAGTGAAGAAGTAGCAGAGACTCCAGCCCCTGCTGCACAGGAGGCACTGCCACCCACGGAATGCACTTGGGATCTGCAAATCAGGTAGCTGTCTGCAGAGATGCAGAGGTGACAGCTCCAACCCGGAGCCCTGAGAGTAAAGCCCTGTGTAAGAGAGGTGACAGCAGGAAGGGCAGCCGCGTGGCGGGGTGGGGACAAACCAGCCTGCGGGACGCAGCAGGTGGGACTCCGATGACCAGAAAGGCCAGCAGAGCCCTCAGGGGGCCGAGGGCAACCCTCTTCTCAGATGTCCCCTTGCGGACCCCTGGCCTCGAAGGGCGCGCTGAAGCGCAGGGGTAGAGGAGGAGCAGGAAGGAAAGGTGACCTCCAGCCTCGGTCAGGCTGGGGCTCCTCACTGTGACGGCTGCACAAATAACGGCCAGCCAAAGTGGGTCAAGAGGACCAGTCACCGCACCCCCAGTCAGCAAGGATCCCGCTAAAAATATACCACCACAACACACGGCATAGAAAAGGAGACTGTGTGGGCCTTGGAGGACTCCTGGGAAGATCAAACAGGCCCTGTGGGCTGTAGGACCGGCCGCTGCAACTCCCGACCCCAGCGGCAGCCTCCCCTGCGGGGCCCTGTGTCCATGTTTCGCTCCCTGCCCACTTTGGTCTTCATCTGTCTGAGTCAGGGCGCCCCAGATAAGAGCCCGGGTGGTAGGAAGTGTGCCCCAAAGCAAAGCAGAAGTCAGAGATGGGCCATGGGGAGGAGGCATCAGAAATGTCCACTGCACTGAGAGGCTCCTGCCAGCTCTCACAGGTCACTTTCACCGTGACACATCCAAGAAGAGCCGCCTGCTTGTCCACCCCTGCAAGTGGCCCCTGTCCTGTCCATCCTTGTCCTGTGTCCTCGCAGTGCGCCATGGGCTCCGTTCATGCCTCCCCATAGCAGAGATGTGAGAGACAAGAGGAGGACAGGCAGATGTTGCAGAAGCAGCAGGAGGGTGCCTGGACAGTGACCACTGCTGACCAAAACCTGGACCATGGTCCATAGTAAAGGAGCAAATCAGTTCAAGCTGATGTTCAAGAGCAGCGCTGGCCGCTCCAACACGCACAGGAAGCCTGACTCCACACCGACAGAGGACGCTGTGACAGAACTGTGTCCCTGGCCAGGGGGAGCATTCACACAACGACAAGACCAGCAACCTCCCTGTTCCTGCCAGCTCCAGGGTCCCCCTGTCCGCACCACTGCAAAACCGTTCCCACACCTCTGGGCTGCAGACTCAGAACAGGGAAGCTGCTGGAGAGAGTAACAGCCCCTCAGAAGGCTGCTTAGGTCTTTAGGCTTTATTTTATTTTTGTCCAAAAGGATAACTTGAAGCCGAGAGTACTTGACGATCTGAAGATTTCCTTTCCCCACACAAGCATGGAACTCCCAGTGCCCCCTCAGAGCGGGTGCTACGGAGGCAGGGGGACCTGTGACCCATGGCCTCACCTACCTCACACCGGAACATCAGGGTAGAGCCCACAGCACTGCCCCCGCTCTGGCCCACAATGTCCCCTTTCCCTGCAGTGCTTCTGTTCACAACGATTTAAGATACTCAACCACCAATGGAAGCAGAGTGGCCTGCGGCAGGCAGGAAAGCAGAAAAGCCAAGGAAAGCATCAGTGCTCCCACAAGTGCGTCTGCTTCGGAGGGGACGGGGTATGCATTCTAGTTCAAAGAAATAAGCTTGAGCCTCCAGGCATGGGGAGCCTTCCACAGCTCCCAAAGCACGCTGGCTGCACCACACTGTCAGTCCATGAATGTGATTACATCACTGACCTCTGAGGTTCCTAAGTGCTTATTTCTATCATCCATCACCAACAAAGGCACATGGGTGGGGCTTAATCCATGTCTGGTGGACGAAGGCATAGTGGACACACCTATGCATGAACAGAAACATGGCTGGACAGACGGGTGGGTGGTAGTGGGTTTGGTGGACTGTGGGTGTGTGGGTGGATTTATGATTGTATGAAGAGTGGGATGGGTAGATGGAATAATGGTAAAATGGATGGAAGGATGGATGGATGGGTAGATAAGTTGATGACTGCATGGATGGATGGATGGATGGATGGATGGATGGATGGATGGATAGATAAGTTCATTACTGAATGGATGGATGGATGGATGGATGGGTGGATGGATGGATGGATGGATGGATGGATGGATGGATGGATGGATGGATAAGTTGATGACTGGGTGGATGGATGGACGGATGGTTCGATAAGTTGATGACTAGATGGATGGATGGATGGATGGATAGATAAGTTCATGACTGGATGGATAGATGGATGGATGGGTAGATAAGTTCATGACTGAATGGATGGATGAATGGATGGATACATAAGTTGATGACTGGATGGATGGATGGATGGATGGATGGATGGATAGATAAGTTGATGACTGGATGATGGATGGATGGATGGATAGATAAGTTGATGACTGGATGATGGATGGATGGATGGATAGATAAGTTGATGACTGGATGGATGGATGGATGGATGGATGGACAGATGGGTAGATAAATTCATGACTGGATGTATGGTTGGATGGGTAGATAAGTTGATGACTGGATGGATGGACAGATGGGTAGATAAGTTGATGACTGGATGGATGGATAGATGGATGGATGGATGGATGGATAGATAGATAAGTTGATGACTAGATTGATAGATGGATGGATGGGTGGATGGGTAGATACGTTCATGACTGGATGGATGGATGGATGGATGGATGGATGGATGGATGGATGGGCAGATAGATAAGTTGATGACTGGATAGTAGATGGATGGATGGATGGATGGATGGATGGATGGTTGGATCTTATACTAGGAAGGAACATACTAATTATGTTTCACAACAAAATAAAATATAAACACAGCAAGGAAAAGAGATTTCACCTCCCGACTTTGACCTGGGACACAGCCTCCTTCATTTGTTCTTTTTCACACTCTCCTCCAAACATCCTGTTGATCCTCGATGCCACCTTCTCTGCTTCTCCCTCCCCGCTTCCGGTAGGAAGCTGCTCTCCTGCGAGCCTGGGGTCGCTGCTGTACTCGAGGAGACACCTGGAGGGGCCTGCTTCACAGCCCCCTGGAGACCTCTGCCTTATTCCTCACTCGCTCCTTCCCACGAGACTCCCATGCGGCCACATGCACAGCTCAGGCTGGAGGCCCCGGCAGGACGCTGGGTAGCTGTGGACTCATGCCAGCCTGGGCCAGATCTGCCTACTGCCAAACCCGAGTGCTTTCAGTGGGGTATGAAGACAGCATGCAATCGATAAATGTCCGCGGAGTGGGCAAAATTAAACCTCCACTCACACCCAACTCCTGAGCGCCACTGACAGGACCATGTCACCATCTTGGATTTTACCTTGATGGCAATAAAAGCAGTGATCCGGGCCCTGGGTGAGGTGCACAGAAGCAGCCCTGGCTGATTCCCTGCAACATGCAGGTGGCAACAGCTCCATGTGCCAAGCCTGTTCTGAGCTCTCGGCGTGCAGTATTACTTTCAGAACAATGGAAGGGACCAATGAAGGACCTGAGGGGCTCCCGACTTCAAGGTGGGTGAGCCCTGGGCTTCCACTGGGCTATCCCGAGTGGCTGGTGCCTGGCAAGGTTGTGAACCAGAGCGCTGCTAGGAAAACCAACTTGTGTCTGCCAACACCTCCCATCCTCGTCTCCTCGGTCTCTGGAAGGAACACAGGGGACCTGTGTGGCTTCCACAGCTTGGGGGTCAGCAGTCTGAGCAAAGCTCGGCCCTAACTCCCAGCTCCCAACTCCACCTGCAGTCTGCTGGCCAGGAAGCTGGTATCCAGCTTGTGCAGCACAGTCACTGCTAACACAGGGCTCTAAGCCTGACACAGGCCTTCCGGGCTGTCCCTTGAGGGAAAGGCCACTTCTCTGTGCCTGGGATGCTCCACAGAACGTGTGACTGGAGGTGGGGGCCTCCCTGGCACTCTGACCCAGGTTCCTGAACCGAACAGCATGGTCCACTGTGGTCCAAGGCCAGACCCTTGTGCTGCAAGGCTGGCCCAGCCCTGGGAGCCTCTGGCTCTGCAGCTCCCTCAAAGAGGCCCCCAGGACTTCAGGGGGTTCGGAAGGCAAGGGGTTCGGAAGACAGGGATGGTGCATGGGTCACTGCAGCCAGCATGATGAGAGCCACGGTGCTCTGTACTCTGCCACTTGTACCCAGCACCTGCCTGGGCAGGTCCCTCCC